GCATAGATAATATTATATATCTACTAATGTGTTTTTGAAATTATTATTACTTATTTTTTATGAACTATGCGTGTGAACACATTTTATGACGAACATACGATATGTATTTCGAACAGATGGCTTTACAGTGATGAGTGGTGATATATATATATATATAACACCTGACCCTTATCCTTAWTTTTAGGTGTCATTTGAATGAACTCTATTTTAATTGAACGTTAATAATAATTAATACTCTTTTAAAAACCTACTTAATAATAGTATGGACCCTAGCTAAAGTATTGCATATATTTGCATTATTTCAATAAATGTAAGTATTTACATATTTTCAATTTTATAATTTAAAAAGTTAATGTATTATTTATTATAATAATAATAATGTTTATATTTACAATATTAGATACAATGTCAATAATGTCATCACTCTGAATTCTAATAATATAGGTAATGATAAAAAGTAAAAGATATTTTTTTTTAGCATTTTATGAATATTCTTTAATTGATAATCATGTACACGTACACAAATTATTATACTTATAATATATTATTTTATAATATTATGAAATGTACAATCGCATAAGATACACTGAGTGTTATCCTTGAAGAGTAATAGTCCTTAAAAATGTGGGTAAAGTGAGATAATTTTAATTCATAACATACACATCACTACTACAGGAAATTACAATAATATAATATGTGCATATTTTTCTTTGTAATATAATTCATCAATTTGAAAATCTAGGGTGGAAAACTAACATTAAGCTATTTTGACAATTCATTTTTTTTATTAGCATAACATAATATGTAAATATATTAACTGGGTGCTTATCTTGTTAAGATTTATTTGTATACACTTTTTTCTGCGAAATAGTTGAAACGTTATGTTTTAAATGAACTACCTAATACCTACCTAGTTAATATAAGAATTTACTTGAATTTAAATGAAAAACTTTGTATACTGCAAGTTCATAAAGTTTTTAATGAACTCTTTTTGATTTTAAATTAATCTTTAAATGTGTACAAAGAAAACAGTGGCTTAAAAAGTGCATTATTAAAATTCTAGTTTTACATAATATAATTAGTATTTTTCCATATTCATATAATATTGTGGTTTTAAAACTAACACGTAAATTTATATTCTATGAAAGTTACTGAAATTTATTTGATTTATAATGTACATTGTTAATATTATTATGTTTGTATACCTGTTCATTGTCATCTGTGGATCATCTGTGGATCATCTATATTAATAATTAACTATACTAATTTAATATATATCATAACAATTAAMAGCAAGTCAGAAAATATACAAATTAAGTACCTATCTAAATAAAAATCGAGGAAGTAGAATACCTGAATAATATGCACGGATTGTTGTGTTTAAATAACTTAATTATTCACGCACTGAATATATTAATTTATAGAATAATATTTAATAATTACAAATTGAAAACTGAAAAATAAATAATAATATGTCAGATTCGAATGATGGTAGGTATATTATAGAGTATAGGTATATCATATTATTATTTTAGTTGTTTGTGGCGGTTCTTATACACGAGAAATACGAGCAAAAAAGTACTCAATATTTATTTAACATAATCATACAAGTAGATATTTGTGTTTAAGTAGTATTTGCTTCTATATTGGGTATAGCCGTATAGGTACGAAAAATACATAGGTACTATCAAAAACTTGTATTCAAACGGTGGAAGCGCCCTTAGTAGTATTATGGTATATGTATTATGTATATGTGTATATAATATTGTATAATATTTACTTTGTTTGCTCTTCTCTCGACATATTATATTCCTATGAAAACACTCGCGAAGCCGTAAAGGTATATAAAGGTACCAATAATATATATATAACATACACTTTACTTAGTGTTATTGTTCGTTTATTTTTCTTCGCGGTTTTCAAAGCAACATTATTGTTTGTAGTTGTGTTGTACACGGAAAAAAAGAGACCAACGAATCTGACATATTATAATTATATCCAATATTATATTAGCCCGTATCTGTATATAATTTATACTGTTTTACGATGATATTCTAAACAACCATATAGTTCAGATTTTCGGAAATCGGGTGTGTTCGTGTTTGACGAATGACGACCAATACGTACCTATATARTATACTCGGTAATACTCGGTATAATTCGATTGAGACAATGTTTGACGACAATGAACCGTAACCGTGGTCGACGGGTGCGTGGGGAAGTGACGATTTCTACTTTTTCTGATTTTTATTATTTTTTTTCGACCGGATGTCGTCTCGCGGCATTGATGAAAATATCAGAGAACAAAAAAAACGTGTTGTTGAAACAGAAGCGGATCAAATAGCGATGACGGCTTCTATGTTTAAAAGAGGGGTGGTTTAAGATACATACACCTACAGTCCGTTAAAGATAAAAAAATATCAAACATTTCAGAGCCTTTCAGTTAAACTTCACTAAGGAGTTATATTAGATCTGCACGACGCACGTGTATAATATTAAAATATAAAACACAATAGGAACGCAACGATTCAGTTAGTTTTTAATTATTTTTATAAAATATCTGTGCTTATTATTCATTCGGATCTAAATACTGTTGAATATGCATAATGTTTATAATATGTTGTATTGTATGAATGTTTCTATTCACTAATTTTATGTGATAGAGAAAATTGTATTCAAAATAAAATATTATGTAAGAAACATAAATTTATTTTGCGCGATATTCGATGACATTGTATTTGTTGATGTTAACCGAATTTTACTCTCTTCCACCCTTCAATAAAAATAACTATCTCTATTCTTCACAAATTATTGTCACTGCTGCAATACATTTTTATGTTTCACATTCACCAATTTAACCAAAAAGTACTCATATACAATATATGAATATCGAACTTAACTAAATTTATTATTCGTGTCACTTGTCATTTTATTTGTTCTTCTATTGTGGCATAAGCTTTGGGCGGAAACTAAAAGGGGCAAAGTTTTGACAGCTTAACAAACAAATTTTGGCAACGTTAGTGTTTTTTTTATACAAATAATATTTAAGTATATACTTACGTTAAGATATTTTTATCAATATCGATAATTCTTTATTCTTAGTCTGATTTTCTTCGTTTAAATCGAGAGTATTGGCGTAATTAGCACTACATTTTTGGAGAGGCCTTAAATATTTTCTCCTTATTAATCTCTATGGATGCTCTCCTTATACACCCTTTAGTAAGTTGGTATATTTGCAAATGATTTGTAATAAACAAATAATAATTTACATCAATATTTGTATTTTTGCAGTATATTATGCACCCACCCCTTTTTTCCCTTCAGTAATTTATATTTATTCAAATTCTCATAATTGGAAGTGGGAATTTTTGAATATATTTAAGGGCCATATTTTTGATTATTATTTAGATTTATAGGTAGGTACAGCATCGGGTTGATAATTTACAGTAAAAAAAGATGATTCTTTAAAAAAAAAAAAAATAAGTTGCAACAGCGGTATTGTTATTTGTTATACGCTTACACTGATACACTGCAACAGGACACTTCATATTATCTACTATACATATTAAAGTATAACAAATCTAAAAATTTGTCAAATTTGTAAAACCGTTTTGCAGCATACCAACTATATCGTTCTTCGCCAGTTTTATGACTCTTTGACGAAAATATTTTCGGTTTCTTCTAAGCTTTAATTATTTTATAAACTGTTGGCGACACTGATTTAACGKAAATTCCRGGCCAGTGGCCACCTACAGGCTACAGGCCAGCTTTTGAACGYAGTTTAACCCTAGTCTCGTTCCGTCCTGCACGCGAGTCTTCGGTCGACCACACGCCTATTTCTATARTATAGAAATATTGTATATTATTAATGTTAAGTTYTAGTTTCATTTAGTATTATTATTTTTTAATAAGCGGAGCTTTGCTAAGTCTCATCGTTGTTTAATATATAATTCTAAGTTCGTAAAATAACTAAGAGAGTTAAACGTCAAATCTTAGTGTTGTGTCACAATATGTTAGTTAGCAATTTTAATACGTATAAATATATATTTTTTTTTTTGGTGTGGGGCTAAGCTCCCTAAGCCCTTGCCTAGTCACGACTACGAATTCGAGAAAGATAATATTATTATTGCTATAACACACAATAATATTCAGCGGAATGGAATTCATTCGGTTCGCCCGCGATATCTGTGTCGTCGAACCGCCGCGATCGCGCACAAAGAGCGACGCGGCGACGCCAACCGCCGACGACTAACGTACTACAGTCTACAAAAGACAAAACCATAGAACAGGTAACGAACGCCGCCGCCGCCGTCGCGACTGGTCCAACCGGTGCGCGTCGTGTTTCGGTGCGTGCACGTCGTTGTAGGAGTCAAGAGCACCGTGTCGCCGACGCGTCCGACGGAGGCCGACCGGAGCCGAACAACGCGGCACCTGCATTCCGTCCACTAACTGCCACCGGCCGCCTTCATCGTTTCGCGCGTCGCCGTGCCGTCKTCACCGCAGTCGTTGTTCGTCGTCGTCGCATGCACACTGTCGCACCTCGCACGCATCACCACGCCGCAGCCGCCGCCGTATTTATATTATTTCATCACTCCGAGACGTGCCGCAATGTCGCCAGTACGCGGTTGACGAGTTGCCGCCAAAACTATTGACAATCAAAAATAATAATCATAATATTGTCGTTTTAATTGCGCAAGACGAATCGTCCAACATCATCTTTATCGTCATCTCGAGACGCGTGCGATACAAGTTCGCCGGTGAAAAAAATAATATTCCGTCGCCGTTATTATTCGCGTCCGGCGGAAAACCGCACGATTATGACCAGAAACCGTTTGTCGTCGTCGTGGCCTCCCACGCCGCTGCTGGCCTTGGTTCTACTCGCCGCCGTCGTTACAGGTAAATAATACCTAACTGTTAATATTAATAATAATGGATGTTGGTTTAGACCACACCGCAAGTCGTATAACGGACTTTTAGTGGAGATTATGAGGTTTTTTGTTAAAATTCAATTTTTTTCCACTTATTTAAGTCTTCCCAAGTTCCTACATGTATTATTTGCACAGGTTTATTGTGTGAACGCGTCGAACGAAAAAACAAAAATTGTCCACCGCAACTTAGTGATATCAACGTGATATGCGTCTATAATTTTCGATCTTCTGTAGAACGTAAAAACAAAATTTTCCGATTGGTTTCAACTTACCTGCTCTCCGCTAATAATCGCATTAAATTTTTGATATCGTCACTATATCAGCAGGTTTTATTTTTATAAATTATCGATCAAACRTGTAATTTTCTTGAAAATCGGTCARCTCAAAACTGCAGTGCAATTATCTGTGGTTAATGCCGATGGACATTCGTTGTATTATATAATTATTACACATTACGTGCAAATGTGCAATATAATTTAGGGAAATGCACCCAGGTGCATTACGAAGGTTCGTTCGAATTTGGCGGGTCTAGCACTACTCTGAGTTTGTACGCACGTGTTCACCATCACCCGGTTTTGAGTTGACAACGTGTCACGTGTGGGACACGTTTAATACGTTTATCGTCTTCGACCCTGTTACAAAGGATTTTTAATTTGTTACTGTTTTTATTCATCTCGTCGCAAAGTTAATAAAAAACCACCTCTGTATTTATAGGTACCTAAATCATAGCTCGATTTTATACTTCGGTAGGTATCTACAGGGTAGATAACCATAATCACGGCTATCTATTGGATAGATAACCATGATTCATGATCGTAGGTAACTTATAGGCAGAYGACCTGTTGTCGATTRGCCTACGATCATCTAAACTCAGAGCTTCCGGTTGGTTACCACTTTTAAACATGAACATAAAGGTATTACAGGTGTTTGATATCGGATATTCAAATACTATAATATAATGTAGATAAGATTTAAATACGATTATAAGTTTACTACCCCAAGATGCGCGTACATTATCTTATGTTATGTATTCTTAAACTTTCAAGTTTCATGTTAAATGKCATGATAACAAGTTTTTTTACTGCTGTTATCGAACACTTATTAATTAACGAAAACAGTTTATACCGAATAAAATAATATATAAGGAATTGACATAAAATAATGTAGGGATCGTTTTAATTCCGCGGAGTCTAGGCTAATTATTAAAAGTGTTTCTCACAAGTACTCGGATGTTAGGTATTTGAAAAAAAAATATGCTATTAATGCAAATACATACCAAATTGGTTTATTTAATTATTGTATTATTTAATTAAATTTGTTTTGGTTAAATAAATGAATAAATGTGTAAGAGGGATCTGTTGAGATATTTGTTATTTAAGCTAGCTATATCAATAATTTACATTTTATTCAACTATTTAACCTAACTAAAGCTAAAACACAATTATTCGCTTTTCGTTAGGTAATTTGAATAGGTACTAAAAACAAATATTTATTTCGTTCTAGGTATGTGTACTTAGAAAAGAGTTGTGCAATAATAAGATAACTGATGAGAATAATAATGTAATTAATGTAACTAGTCGTGTAGTTAAGAGGATGTCAGCGCACTATTTGTTTTCTCTTTCTGGCTCACTCGTAACATGGACAAAACGCATATTATACGCAGAATCATTTTTTCTATGTCTTGAAGTAATTTTAGAGTAAAACCTCCCATTACAAAAAAGATAGAAAATAATATTTTTGAGGGAATGACATATCAATTTGTCTAAATATTGCCGCTAAATAATTTAAACATTATTTAAATGTACAGTATTTTTTTGTTTATTTTGAAAGTCGAATACAAAGTCAAATATCA